TTGAAAACGTAGAATTTTCCAACTTATCCTGTTTTAATTCTTTTGCATCAGAGTGTAAGTGAATGGAAATAGTAACATGATAAAAATGAGTCCACTGAGGCATATTAAGCATTCAGTTTGAGCTGAAATATGTTAAAAAAAATCTGTGTGATGTTGGTGTCAAGCTGTTGTGGGGATTTCATTACATCACAGGAAAACTGTGAAACTGAAGGGCCACTCTTACTGCTTTTATCAAAGATGAACCTTTGATTCTTTTGCAATAGCCACTGGAGTCACTTTTCATGTGGCTATTTGTGAAAAACACAGTGAGTTTTTCGAATTTGCAGTCAGGCAGACAGACATCGGAGCGTTTTCTCTTCTTTTGAAAAACTTTTCGGGCAAAAAGCACATGAGGAGAAATCTAGAAATGGGGAAACATCCGTCAAACACCTGACAGAGGAAATAAGAGAGACGATTTCCTGCAGCTGATCATGAGCCATTAAGCCACGTTTACCAATCTGTGCTTTCTTCCCAGGGATTTGAAACAGCAGTAGGAACAAACTGAGCCTTTATTAGAGGCTGTAGACACAAAGTGCCCACAAATCCAATTCAAAGTTGTTGTTTTTTTGTTAAGCTGCTTGTTGTTCATCTCCAGTTCATCTTTGCACTGACTCACCATCGATGTCAAAGTTTTTTTTCCTTTATTTTACTTTGCCTTGTCAATTTTAATCGATCTCCCAGCAACTCAGACTAACTTATTTCAGATGTTCCAAGATCACATCTCAGACATATTAAAGGGACTCCTTCCATCTCTCCTTTGATGTGTTATTTTATATTTCATACTGTTTGTTCGTGTGTGACTTTAGATTTAGTTTTTTCTTGAATGAACTGCATTCAGGTGTCCCTTGCATTTAAATGTTCTCTATTAATAACATTTATTCACTTATTCCTCATCGAATGGTTGCATACTGAAAAAAAGCTGCAGCTGCCAAAGTCCAAAGCCGAAAAAAAACCCTGATTTTTTTCAGCTATCTGGAGGCTCCGGCTCCTTTGAGGAGAAATATATTTTAAAAATTAGAAATGCTTAAAAGACTCTTGCGCTCAATTGAATCTTCAGCTGGATGTGAGAGAAAAACAAACAATCCATATGAATCTGGACCAGCAGGCGCTTATTAGATTTTCTTCCTTCAATATGCATTTTAGAGGCCGACCACATCTGCTCATTCTGTTGGACGGGCCGTGGAGGAAGGAGATTCGGGGGAAGCGGCGACTCATTTTGCTCATCCGAAACACCTCCCAGTGTTTCCATGGCAACAGGAAGCAATCTGCTCTGGAGGCAGAGGAAGCGTAATCCTCACGGAGCTCAAACTCCCCCCCCCCGCTCAACCAGAATTGATTTTTTTTATTTTATTTTTCCAATCGGGCGTGCAGCTCTCCGGCCATCTCTGTTTGTGCAGAAAGAGTTTACGGAGTTTCACAGAGGCCAGGAGAGGAACCGCAAAGACAGAGAGAGAGAGAGAAAAGAAGCGAGGGACGGAAGATGGAGAGATGCTTAATGGCTTTCAGACTGTAAAAACAAGACTAAAACGTAAAAATAAAAAAAAAACTACCATCAACTGTCTCGGTTTCATCTGGCCAAACTTCGTTCAAGGGCACGTCCATAAAACGGTGAAGGAGAGCTCAAGACAACAGGAAAACATCCATTTACTGCTCGTCATTGTCAAAATGACAGGAAGAGAAAGAGAAAAGACGAATGGAAAGCTGCAGTAGAGAACGATGACATTGTTTACAGGCCTAATGGATTGTGGTTTGAGCTTTTACCCGCGTTGTAATTTCCTTAAAGCCTCATTCGCATAGTAAGTAGCAAGAGGGCAAGGAAAACGAGCAGATCCAGATCTGTCCTAGATTTTTCCTGGTTTGTTTGGGTTTTTTTCTTTCCAAGAATGTATTTATGAATATTTAAATAGCACCACTCTTTGTATTTCAAGCTGTCTGATTATCAGTAGCTGCAGAAATGCAATGATTAAAAACAATGAAGGTGCCTAACTTACACTTCAAAGAATTTCATCTCAGCTGTGCTCCCACTTTGAAACCTGCAGCAGGGCAGATGGGCTGTGATCAATTAGTTTATGGTAGACAACATCTGGCACAAATGTGCAGTACCATGTATTTCTTTAAAACAATAACAAAAAAAAAACATTCTTGAAACCTTGGTGCAGAAAAAAAAGATCACAGATCTGATCAAAATTCTAAAATTCAATTTTTCATCTCAACTGCAGTCAATAGTTTTCATTATAAAAGTACATATTTGAAAATAGACTGTTGTCTGAGGCACCAGGCAAAGGATTCATTGGCTGCATGCAATGGGCTTCAGATAAGGAGACTATTATTTGGATTTCACTGAATGTAAGTAAAAAGGTAATTATTGTTATCATTACAAAGAGAAGAAAAGAAACAAAAACAAAGCAAAGATCAGAGATTTCCCTGTATGTCAGCTGAGTTACAGGGCCAGTGACGCCGCCAGCCCTTTAAGAGGAGAAAAGAGGAGACTGTCCAAAGGTGGCAGGTGGTCAGAAACCTCTGTCCACTGGCGGGCCGGTCACAATTTAACCAAAAAATACATAAATAATCTGAGTTGATCATGAACATCAATCGGTTGATTTCTTAAAGGACAGTGGGTTAGTCCAGATTTTTGAGCAAAATGACAGTTTTGTGCAAAAAACTGTGTTTGTGTAACTTTATAGCCTGTGTTTTGCTCTGAGTAGACCTGGTGTCCAATTTGGTGTCATTTTAGCTTGACATAAAGTTGTAGTTTTCAGATCATAACAATGGATGACTTATTATTGAACTACTTCCAGTGAAATTCTGTTTTTCACACTTTAAGGAGCTACTTTGATGAGGAGTTCTTTATTTTACATATCTTACTATAGGCATAATTTACTGTAAATTTCATAAAATAGTGGAAAGAGTCTCTTCGACCTCCACTTTCACTTGAAGAAAGTGGATGTAGAAGTGGCCTTCTCTGCCAAGATGGAGGACTCTGAGCAGTGAAAGAACGCTTCTGAAACAGCACAGCACTAACACATATGACCTCTGGTGTGTCGTGTGCCTTCGCATGTCATAAAAATAATCAAAAAACCTCAGGGCCATTTTTTGTCCGTCCCAGTCCACCCACAGCAAGACGTGATGGCCTCTACCTACCAGGTTTCAATTTCAACAGCAAAGCAGAGACTAACGACGAAAAGGCTCCATGCTCTCCTAGTCATACATCACTGTGCCTGAAAGTACAAGAAATTCCCAACTAAATGAATAACCCAAACAGTGGTGTATGGCAGTGGCTCAGTGGTGCTCATAGGCTGCTGTGCTGCCTCTGGCATTGGAAACCCATAGTGTGTGTGTGTGTGTGTGTGTGTGTGGCGAGTAAAATCGACTCATCCATTGGTTAAAAAAACAAAACTCTAGGCATCAGGAAATCAACCTTGGTCAGAGGACATCCTGTAAAAAAGTTAGAGTGGCTTTCATAACAGGGACTTGGAACTCGAGTCTTCCAAAAGATAGAGACGCTGCAGTCATTAAACGTGACATTTTGTGTGAAACGTTGAAATAAAAATAAAAAACTACCTGTAGTTTTAGTCTGGATGTTTTGTTTGTTACAACCAGCTGCCAGTTTGTAGATTTTAGCCAGTAAACCTAATTTCCCGTGAAGCCTGAATAATTTTGGGCGCAGAATCACGCAGAGAGAAATGGATTAAGCAGTTGTGTAACGTCAACAGATAAAAAAATAATAATAATACAGATAAGTAAATGTGCACATAACTCTCCTCCTTGTTTGCACTTTACCACCAGATGGAATTAAGCTCGTTTGATGACCTCCTCACAACAAGCCTTCTGCCTGACTGCCTCTAAGAAATCAACAAGAATCTCCCTCTTGAGGTTTTCTGCACACATGAGAGCAGAAAGCCTTCACCCTTCATCTCAGTTCTCCTCACATAGTCCTTGCATACACTCCATCATGTATTTAAATGTTCTCCTGTGGCCAGTTCTTCTCGAAACGCATCTGTCATTTCCCTGCTGTTTCCCCTACCAATTTAATACTCTTTAATCCACCAGAAAGAGCTTCACCAGGTGCATCTTGCTAACACAAATTTCAGCTTTCCATATCTAATTAGACCCAGTGTGTCGATGAAACTGACTCCAGACGAATAGTGCTGTGGGAATCTTTGGTGTCTGAGGAGAGCAGCGAATTTCTGCCATGCCAGAAGCAGAAGCTGATAAAGCAAGATAAGGCTCCCCGAAGCTGACATTTCTTTACGCACAGCCTCAAAATAGCACGTGGATCACAATGGGCTGTTTGTCCGTAAAACTGGATTAAAATAAATGAGTAAAAATAGTGGACATGACGCAGCCATTAATGGCTCCTTCATTGGAAACTGAAAGTTTCCGGGTCGAGTGCGTAAAATCTTAAAATTGCGAAGCTGAGCTGGGAGAAGCACGTGGCCATTTGATGCTTATTTAAACGCATTTTTCAACTATTTATGTGCTTTTCTCCGACGTGCGCGCACTGCAAGCTCAGAGTCCAGAGACACGGGGTGCGGGGGGCCTTTACAGAGGCTCTACGGTGGATCATGTTTTTGTTCCGCGCCAACACGGGAGTCATGCGATTTCCCCCAGCTCGGTTGTTGCGCTGTGGATCAAAGAGGCGCATCAAGAGACATTTCGTGCTGTAAAGCGGTTCAAAGAAAAGTGTGTTCGTTTCTTTACATTTGCGTTGGGTTGCCTCCTTTTGCGCGCTTTTGGGGTTGGCTGTGGATGCATTTTACGCACAAACAGCAGCCCAGTGGGAAACTGCGTCTCCATTAGACACACGCGCACACGCAAATGCGCACACTTATTCGTCCAGCAGCAACAGGCTGGAAGAGTTTCAAAGCGTCAACAAAGCTTGGAATCGGCACAAAAAGGCAACTGAGCCGCATCTTACTTTTTTTCCCCTTTCTCTCTCCACTTTTAAAAATGACTCTTACCTTACAATGATGTACATGACCAGCACGTTTCCCACCAGCCCCACCATGCAAACTATGGAGTAAACAGCGGTGATAATGATGGCGATGATGACGGGGTTGGCGTCTCCGTCCAGGCTGCGGGACACGCCGTCGTCCCCGCTCCCGTCGCCGCCGCATCGCATCTCCGCGAAGCTGCCGTTGTCGGCGACGTTCCGGCAGATGCTGCCGTTCTGGCCGAAGAACGGGAGCTGGCTCCGGAGGTCTGAGCTGTTAGCGGCGCTCTCCATGGCTCTTCTCCCCTCTGCGGACTCGGGAGGCTGCGCCGTGAGCCTGGCTGGGTGTTCGCTTGTGCCGCGTGGTGCGCCCCGCACGCAGGACGAGTCCGGCCGCGCCGCGCTGTAGAAATGCGCTGTGAGGGTAGAGAAGGTGGTGAGTCCACTGACGACCCACTCGTGGCACCGTAACGCCGCGTGGGAGCAGACAGGAAGCGTGGAAGTGAATAAATTTTTCGCTCTTCCTTTATTTTTTTCCCCAAGCGCCGCGTCTCTCCGTGTGATCCTCCTCCGTTCGTGTCCCTCTTTTAGCTCACAAATCAGCACTTCGGTGGTTCCTCCTCTCTGTGTTTGCACCCCGACCTTCTCTCTTTTCTATTTTCTACTCAGATCATATTTTCTTTTTCCTTTCTGAAGATTTGACCTTCTCATCCAGACCTCCTTATAGCTTTCACTCAGCCTATTTGGAAGTTGATCGCAATTTGGAACATATTTAAAAAGTTATTTTACTTCAGCCAGTTAGTTAAGAAAGTGAAACGTGTGGCATGGGCTCACTATACTGAAATGCATCTTAGTTACTTTTTATTTTGGTTGTCTAACGAACAATAAAGCCAACAATAAATAAATAAATAAAATGACTCATTTTGGACCTTCTTTGGTATGAATTCCTGCGTCAGTGCAGCATGGCATGGAGGCCATCCACCCGTGTCACTGAATGGAAAACAAGATCATCCTGTAATATCAGCTTTTGCGTCTATTATCTTGCTCTTGACAATATTCCACAGATACTCTACAATTCATTGCAACGCAGCAATAATGCATTCAAGTCAGTACAAAACGTTACTTCATTCTATGCTCTGCAGACACTCCGTCTGCACTGATGAAAATGAAGTCAGTTTGTCACGCTGAATCCTTAAATCATTTGACCACTGGGGTCAGTCGTTGGATGTCGATCTTTGATCCCAAAATGATCCTGTGATCTTTCAGCGTGGCAAAAAAAGAAGACATGACACCACAGTGCAGTGTTATATTGATATAATATCACAATGTTGTTGGTCAAGACAGAACTGTTCAAACTTCTACTCCTGAACATGTTGGTTTGCATATGTTAAGATGTTTTGAGAAGTTCTCTTTGGTGGCAGACCCTTGTGTTTTGTTTGTGCGCTTCACGCACCATGTAAGACGAAAAGGTCTGAAGGATTGTTGCTGGCAGGAACCGCTGTAATATTTTCAAGTTTGAAGTCAATTTGGGATAAAAGAATCATCCGCTTTTCGCCCCGACCCTCCTTAGACTATCCATTAGTTTCCTCTGACCGAAGCCGTCTCGTTAGCTGTCTGATGCAGTGAGGTCGCCTTTGCTCCGAAGCTTTCAACCGAATCTCACTTTTAAGGATGAAAGACGTCAGTTCAAGAACAGATCAGTCAGTGTAGCGTATTTCAATCCGTTTTTAAGAGTCTGTTTCCACTTATCAAGATGTGGAAACATTAAAAGAAAGACTTCAGAATGAAGACACCTGTTTGTTGTTTTTTTTACTGGGCACTCAAATAGCTCAAGATAATTTTATTAGATATTTTTATAGTTTTTGTATCACGTTGTCCTTTACACCAACGTTCTTTGGCATCTAAAACTGTTCTGCAAATTTGCACATACTGCCAACAGCAACAGCATTTAAATCTCGAGAAGGACAAATCATTTCTGATACATTAATAAGACTTCCTTTTTTACTAAATAGTTGTTTACCCACATATTTCTTTTTTCACCTTTTCAAAACGCCTCTTTATGTTTCTTTCTCTCCCTGTTTCTACCACAGGAGAGTGGTAGACACAGATGATCACTCAATAATTTTGATAAAACTACGGTTCTTTCTTATTTACATTTTTTATTTTACCTATCAACCATATGCAGTGAAATGATAGACAGGGAGAAAAAATTTCAAATTGCAAACATACATATTAAAACGTTAATTTCATGCTTGTATTGACCTTTTGATTACTTTATGTACCACTCTGAAGGAAGTTTGCATGATGAGGTTGAAGGGGATTTTACAACTCTCCTTGAACTGCTCCATAAACGTGAACAAAAAAAGTTTTCATCAGCTTTCTTGTGTAAGATAGATATGGTGTTTCCTGTGAGCAGGATGAGTCGTGAGCGCAGACCTTCATCTAATAAAAAAACCATCAGCACACGACAACGAATGATGACATGCCCAGCAACAATGGAGTGCTGAGTGCTAAGAGGACGAGGACAAGATGACTGAACTTGGATGAGTTGGTGCCAACACTTTACCCAGCGGCAATGGAAATAGCGACACATCGCCGTCACAATCCTTTACGAATGGAGGTAGTGTGCAGAAACACGTCTTGTACCTCTTGCTTCCTGTAGTTGTCACATTAAAAAAACCTGTGCTGCAGTCTAGTTCTTTGATGCCGTACAAAGAGACTGCGATTTGTTAATACATTTATTGAGATGCAGGAGGCGTCTGATGCTGTCCCCCGTTTTTAAATCTTGCACAGTTCAACGTGAAATATTTAGGTGAATAAATATTTGCAACTTAGTCCAAGGCTACACTTGGCTGCAAGCCATATAAGACAAAAATGTTCCAGGTGTCATCCTTCTGCTGTCTGTGTCCCCACCTGTGCACCCCAGGGACAAACCTGCAGGTGGATTATTGGATCCAATAATATCATTGTAGGGACAATGCTGTGACATTTCAGTGGGAGTTGCATTGTTTATCTGGCAGTGGCTTATATTTTCAGGTAATTTTAATATGTCTCACACACCTGTGACAGGCTGGATGATGGGATGTTGAAATTCTAAATGCTGCAGTGCTACATATGCAGACAGATAATGTGAGTTATGGGATTGCTCCATTGAATGCCATCGAAATAAAATGAATCACCAAAGAGGAATGTGAATAAGACTAAAGCAACGGTTTTTTTTTCTCACACTCAAAAACTATCACAGATCCTGTTCTCTCCTCCATCTCTGTCACTTCCTATTGCTTAAGATCCAGTAACATTTTTCCTGTGCATGTTCCACATGTTCAAACAATCAGCGTAATTGCTCCTATGACCTGGAATCAACTAAACTCCAGAAGTCAGATCTGATTTTGTTGGACTTATTTCGAGCGGTTCTTCCACACATGCAATGCGATTCTATCAACCAGTGTCACTGCTTTTAAACTGATTTGCAATTTCTTTCAAACTTGTGCATATGTTTTAGTTTGTTTTACTTTTGTGCAACCGGGTTGCCGTGTGTTGCAGATTTTTACCTGGTTAAATAAAGGAAATAAGAAAAAGTGAAACAATTGGATGAATTCTTCTTCAAAACATCAAACTGTCACAATCTACAGAGATGTTTGATGCATAAATTGGGGGACATACAATGTTGTAATAATATATTAACTCTCTAAGATTAGAAAGTAATGGCTTGCAATCTGATTGTGTTTAAACTCAAGTTAGAAACAGCCACGCTTCTTTTTTTTAATTTATGAAAAGATAAAATACAAAATAGGAAGCAGCAAAAAAGTTATTTCAAGGATTTTATAAATAAAAATGTTATGTACCAGAGTATATGAAACAAAGGACAGTGTGTCTTAGGTTGTGTTGGCTCCTCGCTGGATTCCCCCCCCCTCTTGTCCTTACAGACATTACTGTTCATCAACTTCAGACATTTTTCTCACCTGCTCTTCCAGCTGCCCACTCCTGATTTTTCTGTACAAACTGTACCTGCTGCAGTCATGGTCAGGTAGAAGCACTGAAGGGAAAATCTATGAGCCCTTCAGAGAGAATTATTGATCAAGATTACTTTTAAAAGAGGAATGAAATACAGTCTGGCTCGCTGGAAGCAAAGTATAAAGAAATGGGACTTGATTCAAATTCTCTGCACTGGGTGTCCAAAGTTCATGAAGAAAAGTTTTCATCAGATTAGTGCTGATGTGGTCTAATTTAACGACACTTTAAAGTTTGTATGTTTCTCTGGGATTTTATGCCATAGACCAACACAAAGTGTCTCTGTTTTATTGATTTATTTATTCAGATCTTTTCATAGCCGGAAATAATTGTTAAAATCTTCCAATCTTCCAGACCAGGAAGATTGATACAACAGGTCTTCTGGTTCTGGTCTGCTCTGGCATCCCCAGAACCAAAACCAAACATGCAGAAGCAGCATTCAGCTTCTATGCACCAAATATCTGGAACAAACTTACAGAAAAGTGCAAAACTGCTGAAACACTGAGTTCCTTTAAATCTAGACTATTAAAAAACCCGCCTGTTTAGAGTTGCTTTTATACCATAATAAATGAAACACTAACCAAACATTTTGATGTGTAATGGCGGCACTTGGAAAGATTTAATGTTTCAGCTGTTGCCTTTTTAAATTGTAAAGTACTTTTAACTGCGTTGTTGCTGAAATGACTTGTGCAAATAAACCTGATCAATTGATTGATTAATGAGTTTTCGTCTGCCATTAGTGAAATCTTACAATGCTCCCTCTCCCTGCCAAAGAAAAGCATTAGGACTCTGCCATGTTACATCACATGTTAAATACAAATGGATAACATGCTTTTTTTATACATTTCGGAAAAGATCTTGTAAATCATGTCTCCTTTTTGTTTCCGCTTCTCAAGATTGTATTGTTTTATGCTTTTCTGGCACATAAAACAGCAATAACATTTTGGAGTCACACAAAGCAAAATAGCAAGATGATCTAAGGTAATTATTAGTTTGAAAAGCTGTGTCGCTGAAACAAGGAAAAGAAAACAATACTAAGGAAAAAGACGGCACTTCTTCAAGACGCAGGTGTGGCATTCACAAATTCGATTAATTGTGACGAGGGAGAGAAATTGAACTGAATCTAGGAAATAAAGCATGCCCAAACAAAACAAACCTAAGGCTACGGAGGAACAATGTGTTCAAACGTAGCAAAGCTAATGCAGAAAAGGTTGCTGTTTCGCTGCTGCTGCTCTACAGTACTCTGTCTTTGATGGCTGAAATAAAAGTACCTCAGCGACTGGAGGGCGTCTCTCTGAATGACCTTTTCAGTCAGCTCTCACACCGGCTGTGTGTTTGTACTGATAAGTGCGGTGGAGGTGCTTCACTGAGAGGTGTTACAAGTCATATATAAATATGTATATAAAACCAGATCGTGGCAGCATTTCAGACATCCAGTCACATCGTGTTCTTCAGTGTTCGGACCATTTAGACCTTTTCCTCCTCATCATTCCCACTCTGATCATTTTTCTGCACCGATTATACAAACCCGAAAACAATGAAGCATATGAGTACACAAAACCTTGAAGAGCATAAAATGAGAAAAATAAATAAATCAAGAGCTCTACATTCAGGCTTTGACAGAAGAAACTGGAGAATTTTTTTTTTAAATCACCGGTATGCGTAAA